TGAGGTCTGTTACGAAATTAGACTATTATGTGCTTCTAAACGACAAATCTTAGCGCTTCTTATATTTTAATATTTCATTACAATAAAAAGTTAATATTGTGTTTTCGCCGCTTGCCAGTAATATATTGTGATGAAATGAAGACCAGGCTGGTCATATTTGCCATATTGGTCATTGGTCTGTTGCATCTATTGCCTGCTGTGAGGGAAGTGTTTCACATTTCCTAGTTTTTGGCTTTTATCGGAGGACCACACTGGTTGTGAACGCATTTATTGTGGCACTTCGTGAGGCAGTGATTATCGGTGTTAGTATTGAAGATTCTACTTCCCCTGCGGCTGGACGTGCAATTCGGTTTATGGGAGAGGGGGGGGTATTTAAGTCATTTCTAAAAAAAGAAATATACTGGAGTACATGAGGGCTACTGCTGTGTTAAGCATTTCATTCAAAGCACATTCTTCAGGTCCGAGACAATTTTTGACATTTTTGCGTCGTCAGCGAAACGAAAACGCAGACTGAATCATTGAATTACCCGAAATGTGCACATAAAAAAAACCAATACAAGGCGCCGGGGACTGTCGAATGATACCTTATAACTAGCCCACCGATTGGCACTTTATTCAAAGAACCGACAGCAAGGTGGCATTACTAGAACCTTTATAGTTTTGAAGATTGTCATCAATGAATAGCCTCTCGCTTCGATTGCTGGTCATTTAAGTCAAAGTATAATAATTTCGTTAAGGATTACGGATTCCCGACAAAATCCGAAACGTCAGGAAAATAAAACTCTTGTTCGGGTGGTCGAACCCTCTTCTCCTGAACTGCTTCCCTTAACTCGCATATTCTCCACTATTGACAATTTGGGCCTTATCGTTGGGCTACCGAGTCCCCCTCAGATGCAATTTAGGAGGCAGAAAATGTCGATTAAAGGCGCCTTTTCTGTCTGCTGCTGCATTAAAAGCCGACTTATACAGTCGATCGTGCATTTAAGGGGCTTCTACGCAAAGCATTCAGTCACATTTTCTTCCAAATAGTCTACGCGCGATGGGTGTTATGAGTGTAAAAAATGTGCAATCTCAAACCTATTGATGTAACTGCACTTTTCTGACATCAGGACAGCATTTTCCTAACATAAAAAGCAGTTGTCTTGACCCCCTCTCTCTGTCTCTCTCTCTTGCAGATTATGCTATCCCGGGGACAATGATTCAGCCCGGTAAGTGCTGGTTCCAGTACAAGAGCTCCGACCTGCGAGATGGTCAGCTGGGCTGGACCAATTCGCCCTTTTTTGCCAACACCTATCCTACCAACGCAGAGTGCGTATATATTTTCGTACCAGCAGCTGGTGAAACAGTAGCCCTCGCCTTCACTACCTTCCAGACCACAGAGGAGCCCAGCCATCAGGACGGACGTCGCTATGGTGATTCGTCACGTGCCTGTCACAAGGTCAGTGACTGAACATTTCTCATTT